GCTGGCGCGCCGCCTCGTCGGCTACCTGCTCGACCACCACTCGGAGATCATGGCGCCGGCCGTGCAGATCCGCGACGCCGTCCGCGACCGCGTCCAGCAGCAGCAGCGAGAGAAGGTGAGGAATGGACCGACTGACAGCAGCGGCGAGAGAAGGTGGACTGACAGGCAGCAGCAGCGAGATAAGGTGGGGGATAGACTGACAGGCAGCAGCAGCGAGATAAGGTGGGGGATGGACTGATAGGCAACAGCAGCGAGAGAAGGTGGGGGATGGACTGATAGGCAACAGCAGCGAGAGAATGTGAGTGGTGGACTGACAGGCAGCAGCAGCGAGAGAAGGCAAGGGTGGATTGACAGGCAGCAGCAGCGAGAGAAGGTGAGGGGTGGTCTGACGGACAGCAGCAGCGAGAGAAGGTGAGGGATGGACTGACTAGCAGCAGCAGCGAGAGAAGGCGAGGGGTGGACTGACAGGCTGCAGAAGCGAGAGTAGTTGAGGGATGGACTGACGGGCAGCAAATGGACAGGCGGCCGCAGCCATGCCTCAGCCTGTCACCTGTGCGTGCATGCAGGTGCAGTACGAGGAGACCCCGATCACCTACTGTCAGCTGATGTCTGCCGAGCGTACGGCCGCGACCGTCTGGCGCGCACCTCCGACTCGCTGCTCTCCCTGCTCGACGTCATCATCGCCGACACGGCCATGTCGCGCAAGGACAAGCGCAAGAAGCTCCAGCAGGTGGGGTGGAGAGACGGCAGCCGTGCCGGCCGACCCGGTGGGGGAGGGGAGGTTCCCGCCTTTCGGAACGGCGCTGTTCACGCCTCGTGCGCTGGTTGGCCGAGCGGAGTTGCAACTGTAAGCCGTGAGAAGGATGCAGGGACATGGGGTTGCGCTTCGCAGTGGCTGCAGTCTGAACTGGCTGATGTGGTGCGGGCCACAGTGCAGTGACATACGCCCCAGTGTCGTGAGACGTGTCTCCGCCCTGTGCTGCCGTTCAGCGGCCGGCGCGCGCTGGTCATGTGCCGCCAGGCGTGTGTTGTGTCCTGGCGCGCGGACTGACGAGCGCGCGCGCGCGCGCCGTTTGCCGCAGTTCCGTGACACATACCCGGAGATCTACAGCCGCCGGCTGCTGGAGGCCGACCGGCAGCTGCTGGCCGCCGGCGACACGCGCCGCACGCGCTCCCTCTTCTCGGGCGCATCGCTCAGCTCGCTCGTCCGCTCCAAGTCGCTCCGCATCTGAGGCCGACATGGCTCGCCGGAAGTGTGTCGTGGTCCGGTCACGCGCGGCACGTGCTCGCCGAGGCGTCTGGACGCGTCGTCAGGTCCGGGAATGCCCGGCTGACAGCGTCTGCGGCGGCCCATCCTCATGATATCCGGACGAATTCCTGCTTGTTTTCCGCGTGGCGCACAATGAAATCTCAGAGCGCTTGGACAAGTCGCCGTGCCGGCCGGCCCGCGTGCCGCGCGTCACTAGCCGCCGTGATGTGCGCACCTCGCCGCCGTGCTGTGCGCCCGCTTTGAGCTCCCGGCTGTCCGGGGCGATCAAAGCGGCCACAGCGACCGGCCTCTCGGCCTGCGAGTCAACTACGATGTGCTGCTATAGTGTATATCCAACGTCATCAGGGTTTTGGGCCTGCGCGATCTTGCATGTCCATATCGCACGCCGGTTTTAATCTTGCTAGCAATAATACACGGTCTGCGTTTATCACAGCCGCACGCACTGGCACATTTTCGGGTGTTTGCAAGTGTGAGCCACAATACAATCACTTCTTCATGTGGTCTGTTTGCTCCGAAATAGTTGATACCAAACTCGTTGCAGGTACTGCCTTGGATAGACTGTGCTTAGGTGCCAGACGGAAGGAACGCACTTGATGTGCCCGGTTCCCTTGTAACGCTCAACATATGCATCAGGACGTTCTTCCCAGGTACCAGTGTATTCAAGGTGGCACAACCATCACACTGCGCAAAGCGATAAACGCCTTCTGAATACAGCCGCCACTGGCGCTGCGCAAACATAATGCCTGGATACGAGCTGTAGCCGCGTCGCACATTGCACTAGATTGTGTCCCCACCGCACTCAAAGCCCAATCAAACAGCAGGTGCTTGTCATTTCATGGGTGTCCTGAGTCGATCCGCAACATGGCCACTAACCAGGCCCACCTCGTGCGGCAGCCTGGCTGAGAACGCATACACAGTGATGCACAACAGCGTGCACGCCCAATATCAATGTCAGAGTAGAGTATTCACTAGCGACGGGCGACTAGATCATCAGCGGCGGTACCACCCACGCCGCCGAGTCCATAGGGGTGCGCCGGCCGCTGCCGGCTCGGCACCCTCGCCCTGCGTCACCTGGTCCCTTCGGTTCTCTAGCCGTCGGAAGCCTCGACGCCCACTGATTCCGGGCGCGCCGATACATTGTTGGATAGTGGAATAGAACAACGTGCGTGGACACTCAAGCACACATGGTTCCGTGATAAAGCTAATAAAAACTTTCCATAATCACAAGGAAGCCTCTACGTTTTCACCCTGGCATCCGATCCGTTCCGACCCGCATGATCTTGACCGGTCTAATCTGACTAAAATCACAACAGAGTAACCATCCTCAAACTGAACAGTCGTCTGCCCCGGTGCCGGGCACAATCGGGTGTCTCGGCGTCCGCGCTGCGTCATCCGGCGCGCCACCCGCTAGTGCGCGCGGGCCGAGGGGCGACACATCCCCACTACCGGCCGCCCTCCTCCGACGAGCCCTCCGACTCTTTCCTGGCGCGGGACTCGGAGCCCTCCGCGACAGGAAAGTCGGTGGAGGCGGCGCCCAGCACCCGCCGAGTCCTCGCCCAGCAGGTTACACAGCTCCTGCGGCGCGCACGGACTGTCAGCTTCCGCGGTGCTGGACGGCGACCGGCAGGCATCGCCAGTGGGCCCGCTGGCGGCCGCCACGGCAAAACTTCACCATGAGGCGCTTTGTGTACACTTCAGATGCTCAGTGCGATGCTCAGATTGTACACGCACTGAATGCTGGGACACTGCTATATGATACAAGGCCCGAACCAGAGACTCAAGAGCAAAAACATCACACCATAACAGTGTTCCGCCGTTCAGCCCGCTGGCGAGACGCTCCCGTCTCGCCTCAAACCTCGCCCATTGGTTTCCGTCGGGGCCCGACTGGTGCAGGGCGGCCTAGCGCAGCCGCCCGCCGCCGCCGCTGTCTCGCCTCAAAACCTCGCCCATTGGTTTCCGCCGGAGCCCGACTGGTGCAGGGCGGGCCTGGCGCAGCCGCCGCCGCCGCCGCCTGTATCTCGCCCTCACCTGCAGCCGCTCCTGCATCTTGGGCACGCCGCTGAGCTGCTTGCTCCAGCGACTGTTTCTCGTCCTTAAGCGAGAGCCGCGTCTCGGTGTTGAGCTCCTCGAACCGCCAGCCGCCCTCGCCGTCGAACTGCAGCAGGTGCGAGTGGTACGGCCTGCGGGCGAGGGGCGGGCGCGCGTCACCGGGGTAGCAGCGGCGTCTCTCGCTGAGACGAGGCACACCACCTCAGCCAGAAACAGCCTGCGGTGGTGCACATCTCGATAGGGAGGGAGGCGTTGGCCGGCGTGTGGCTGTGGTGGTTCATGAGGTAAAGTTCAGCAGGATTTGGTATTCGCATCACGTGTTCCGCATGATTTGTGATCCCCTTTCCCAAACACTGATCAGCTTAATTGAGCAATAACGAACTAGCTAGCCTACAAATTCGTCATCCGAAAAGCTGCCAGTTGTAACTGTAGCTTGGTTGTACATTGGATCATGTACCTTAGTTGGTTATCTGATTACATGGATTCCAGCCTTCGACCAACCACAATCATTTCGAGGCTACGGGATGAGGGAGACTGGATAATGGTGGGGAAGAATTAAACGCGCCTGGGGGGAGGGGGGGGGGGGGCAAACCAACGAACCCTAGCCCGCGCATGGGCCCCTCTACGGGCCACGCGCTGGGCCGTCTGGTCGGGGCCCCCCTCCAGGGGCCTCAACCCATTTGTGGCCGCTTATTTCGAACAAGCGGAGCGTCACGAGGATGCAGGATGACGCAAGGAAGAGGATAAGAGGGTCGGATCAAGCATATACCTTGATAAAAACTGCAAACACACATGTACATAGAACATGCACACAGGTACATCTCTGAGGCACAAATGGTAAAAACTGTACGCCGCGCTTTTCTGAAGCCTAAAAATGTTCAGGAGAGCCGGTTTTTCTGCTCAGTACAACAACTTGTGTCGCAGGTGTAGCACCAAAAATTATGCCACTGGAATCCCCAGAGTGCAGCGTATTTGATGGAAATAATATGTTCTAGTAAAGATGACACATTTTCTGCAGCTAACGTTTCTTATGTCAAAAGTTTATCCCACCAAATTTGAGTATGCAACGGTAAAAATCATAGTCATTTTTGGCATGGCAAAACAGATATGTCGCGGACGGATGACATCGTGTTTCAGCCGCAGATAGATGCAAAACCGTTAAATGCACTAGCACTTTTAAATGCATTGACAAAAACACGCAAGTGCGTTACAAGCATATTTCAATGGGAGCGGCCTACTCAGATTTTCAGACCCCGCTGCGCGTTTCGAACCAATTTTGCATCACTCGCCATCATTTATTCATTTCATCATTTGCCGAGTTCAGAGGCCTTATGCTGACAATTACCAAACTTCGAAAACCAAGTAGCACTGGTTACACGACTTTAACAAGCTGTCTGGACCACCGAGAGCGCGGCTATCTGGACCGCCGTGAGCGCGGCTATCTGAACCATCGTGAGCGGGGCTATCTGAACCACCGTGAGCGCGGCTATCTGGACCGCCGTGAGCGCGGCATCATTACCGAGTGAGCACAGCACGGTGTGGCGTACGTGGCGCCTGCTAAACATACAAGCGCTCTGTGGTGCATCACGACCGCGACACGTAGCATTTGCCATGCCCGTACAGGTGGGTACATCTATCTAATATTCTGCCGCAGATCTATGCTCATCTGAAGTGCGCGTGAATTGTCCAGCTCCTGACAACCCGTGAATAGACTTTCTTCCGCATTACATTTCACTGGATCGTCTTTTTAGAAGGAATGCATTCACACGTACCGTTAAACATACTTTGAGTTACATTTTAACAACCTGCGCCGACATCATTGGTTGGCCTGTGGGCCATCATTGGCCCGTTGATTCGTGAAATAAAAACCTTGTGATCGCATCAATAGGCATGTGGTTTCGCACGTCATTTGGACCTCCATGATCACGTTTTCCTTTGAGCTGAAACACAGCCATTTGTATTTATTTATAACAACTGCATGATCAACCCGATTTCGCCTTTTCACGCCAGCTGCAGCTTTTGTGAAATTGGCCTCAGCTCATTAAAAGGGGAAGATCGGTGACAGGAAATAGTGGCGACATCACAACTGGCTAAACGGGAAAAGGATCGGTTACCCATGGCTGTAATTCACCAAGGGGGAGCCCAATGGATACTGGTGATGATGTAACTCACCAGAGGAGCTAATGGGCATCACTGGGGCTGAACCTCGCCACAGGGAGGGCCGACGGGTGGCGGCGAGGTCGCAGCTCACCAGAGGGGAAGGACGGCTGACCGGTGAGTGATGGTGCGGATGCAGCTCATCAGAGTCGGTGGGTGATGTTGACCATTGACTCACCAGAGGGAGGGCCGGTGGGTGATGGTCAGCAGGGTGATGTTGACCATTGACTCACCAGAGGGAGGGCCGGTGGGTGACGGTCAGCAGGGTGATGTTGACCATTGACTCACCAGAGGAAGGGCCGGTGGGTGATGGTCAGCAGGGTGATGTTGACCATTGACTCACCAGAGGAAGGGCCGGTGGGTGACGGTCAGCAGGGTGATGTTGACCATTGACTCACCAGAGGGAGGGCCGGTGGGTGATGGTCAGCAGGGTGATGTTGACCATTGACTCACCAGAGGGAGGGCCGGTGGGTGACGGTCAGCAGGGTGATGTTGACCATTGACTCACCAGAGGGAGGGCCGGTGGGTGATGGTCAGCAGGGTGATGCCGGCGTCCTTGGCCGCCTGGAACATCTTGCCCTCGACGTCGATGCTGACAGCGCTAGTGCACTCGTCGAGCAGGGCGTACTGGGGTCTGCCAGACGCGCGTCCACAGTCAACACAACGCCCCGACCTTCAGCTTACCACGCTACGCGTGTGCCGCCCGTGCTTACTTCCGTAGCAATATCGGACGCCGATCGCAGCCTCCGGGCAATGCGTCGACACAGCAGCGCACTGCGGCGTCAGCGGATCGGGCTACGCGAGTCAATGGCATGCAGATAACACCCAGGCATCGCAGGGCGGCCAAGAAGACATTCACACCGTCCGCATTTTGCAGCGATCCGTCTGAGTAACAGGGCACATGGCTACCTGACTGCTCAGCGCCCCGGCTCCGCCCTCCCTCACCGGTGGTAGAAGAGTCGCGCCATGCCCATGCGCTGCTTCTCGCCGCCCGAGAGGATGTCCTTCCAGTCGCCGAGCGCGTCCCAGCCGCCCTCGCGCTCCAGCAGGTAGCTCAGGTGCACCACAGACAGGATGGCGGCCAGCTCGGTGTCGGAGAAGCCGCGCGACCGCATCACGGCCACGCTGTCCGGGTAGATGACCTGGTCCCGCAGCGAGCCGATCGACATGTACGGCCTGCGAGGCAGCCGAGCGCCGAGCCGGGTCAGCTCGAGGGCCGCCAGGGTCGGGGGTCGGGGGCGCGCGCCGCCGATGACGCCGCGCGGGCTTATACAGCGCGGGGCTCGGGAC